TCATCCCGGATTTTTGGGGTACTGACGGTGCTACCGCCATTAGTGGGCAATACTACCGCTTGACATCTGACACTGGGCAATACTACCGCTCAGTCTGGATGGTACCACCGCCTGACAGAGCTTGGAGACTGAGCTCTAGTGATACCACCGCTTGACAAGGGCGGTGCCACCATTGGCAGCAATAACTGCCAGCGGTACCACCGCCTAGACCACTTGGGGTGCTGCTTTCCAGGTGGTGCCACCGCCGGCTAAGAATTCAGCATCCTGATTGGGCTTTGACTCTGGCCTAAACCAGCCCAACTCTGAGCCCAGTTGGCCCCTAACAGAGTTGATGGGATTACCTCTCAAATCAACTCTAATTATCATTCCAACTACGATCAAAGCAAGCATGGCCCAATACATCGATTTTTCACTCGACGATCTTCCGGCGAACTTTTCAACGAGTCTTCTAACGAACTTCTGGCAAACTCCCAGCCAACTCTTGGCTAGTCTTCCGGTGTGCTTCCGGCGACCTTTCGACAAGCTTTCGACGAGTCTTCCAATGTGCTTCCAATGATGTCACGATGAACTCTCGGCGAGCTCCTAGTATATCGTCCGAGTCTTCAACTCCGGCCCATCATCTGCTTTATGCCATACTGCTATCGTAGTTAATCCTGCACACTTATCTCAACACATGGATTAGATCAAATAATTTATCAATTGATTTCATCATCAAAATCCGAGATTCAACATGGGTTCCTTAGAATCTATAAGAGAATTAAGTAAATTTTTTATTAGGTAGGGATGAAAATTATTATTGTTAAATTTATGGCACAATGTGATGTATGTCAATGACATAAAGGCAAGATAGTGGTAAGTCCTAGAAAGCTGCAACCTTTACTCATCCTGGACTTAATATGAACTGATATATCAATGGACTTCATCAAAGGGCTTCCCTCATCATAAGGAAAATGTACAAATTTTGTCACGTTAGATCGCCTTACAAAGTATGCTCACTTTTGCGCTATTCATAATCCCTACATAACTTCTAGTATTACTCAAATATTTATGTAGAATATTATAAAATTGCATGGGATACTGTGATCTATTGTAAGTGATCGTGATTGGGTCTTCACGAGCAGATTTTGGACAGAGTTATTCCAAATCCAGGGTACTAAATTGAAAATAAGTATAGCGTATCACCCACAAACTAACGGCCAAACTGAAGTAGTGAACAGGTGCTTAGAGACATACCTTAGATGCTTCACCAGTGACTAGCCAAAAGAGTGGACAAAGTGGCTTCCCTAGGCCGAGTGGTGGTATAATATAACTTATCATTCATCCACAAAATATACTTCTTATAAGGCTATATATGGCCAACCTTTCCTTATGATCCCAAAATATATGTTGGGCACCTCTAAAGTAGAATAAGTAGACAAGGAACTACCGGATAGAGACAAAATGCTGAAGTTACTAAAAGATAATCTCACTGCAACTCAAGCAAGGATGAAACAGCAATATGATCAACATAAAGGCAAAAGAGAATTTTTAGTAGGAGATTGGGTCTTCCTACGGCTCTAGCCATACAAGCAAACATCAATCCAGACCAGAGTATCTATGAAGCTTTCACCTTGGTTCTATGGACCCTACCAAATTTTGGAGCGCATCGGAGAAGTAATATATAAATTGGACTTACCCGCCAGCTCCCGAATCCATCTAGTCTTCCATGTGTTGTGTTTAAAGCTCAAGTTGGGATAAAACGAGATAACCTAAAGCCATCTACCAAATATGACTATCCAAGGAGAACTCCAGACACAACTGAGTACCATTATTGATCGATGGATCGTGACTCGATGATGACAACCCACTACTAAAGTGCTAATACAGTGGGCAAACCTACCAACAGAAGATGCCACTTAGGAGAAATATGATGACTTAAAGATCAAATTCCTAGAATTCATGGATCGTCAACCTCAAGGATAAGGCTGATTTGAAGAGGACGGGTCTGTTAGGATTCTAACTAGGAGAGTCTAAATTGAGTTTCATTGAAAGGGGCATTCATGTAAAACCTACCTAGTCGACCCCTATTAAAAAGGCAAAGAGGCCGACTAAGGATAGGATTACTTTGGAGGTCGTTTCTTAAAAAAGCATTAGGAGTTAGTTAGAAGGAGTCTTGAGTATGAGTCCTATTAGGAGTTTTGAGTAGGAGTCTTATTATGAGTTGGGGTTTAGAAGTCATATAAATAGTCATGTATTCATTCTCTTTTAATAAGAAATAGATGAATCTTTTTAGCAGCCTTTGAGTAGCAACCTAGAGGAAGAAACCTCTATAGAGTTCCAAGGAGGCCGATCTCTTAAAGAGATCAACCCGAAGCTTAGATTTTGTAAGGGTTCTAATAGTGTGGCTATTATGATGCACGTACTGTGTGGTGTAGCCACCGCTCGCAAGCATACGATGCCCGCAAGCGGCCATGATGCATGGCTGCGGGGTGGTACATGGCCCTTGAGCGAGGTTGTAACAGAGATCATCACCTCAATAACATCGATAGTAAATAATAAATTCATCGATCAAACATAAAAATTATAAATTGCTCACAATTAGCGATAGAGCAAATCATATAGAAAAAATAAATAAATAATATCTGACGAATCATTCATGCATCGTAAACAAAAATAATAGATCTAATATATTTAATCTCAAGAACCTAGCTTTGATACCAATTGTTAGCATAAAATCCATAATTATGTTGTTTGTAATGCGAAAAAGATTTTATGCTAAGATTGAAATCAAATAAAATTAGATCTAATAATATTACGATACGTACCTTTTATTATTGTTCAGAAGAATAAATCTTATCTGATCTATAGGCGCCCCATCGTTGGATCTAAGATATCAATATGCAAGGAGAACTAGATTCTTCTCTTCTCTTCCTATCCTTTCATAGGACCACTTAGATTGATGAGAAGGGTTAATAGAGATTTTAATCCCTCAATTGAATCCTCTATAAGATGCTTTTGTTTAGCCCTAGAGGTCCTATCTATTTATAGGCGAGAGTAGAGGGTCTAGGATAAATTATTAGGAGAGTTTCACCCTGGTGAATACTACTTTAACACTAACTTCTTTTTTATTGGTCAATAACTATAATCAGAATCCAATCATATTTATAATATATCTTATCTAATTAAATAGGACCAATTAATCTAGGTCAATAAGATTAGATTTGTTCGTGCAATGTCATGAGCAGTCCAAAAATATACACTATTTGTAATATAATATATTTTGGAATGTGTATGAATATTATAGTTATCAAAACTGAATCGGACCATTGGTTTGATCAGAAAATTTTGGCTCTTGGACGCGTTCTATTTTTTCAAAAGAGCAATTGTATCAAACCCATTCTGAATTGGCTAACTTAGTCAATTTATTTAATGTATCATAGGGGCCAATTGAGTTTTAAAATATGATCAATATTTTTTAATCAAATTAGGATTAATTGATAACATCATCATTGGTTAAAACTAAAAAAAATTTGGTCTTTTGCGAGATTAACGCTAAAAAGAAGATAGGAAGCAGAAGAGATAGGAGAAAAAGGAAGAAAGAGGGGATAAGAAGAAGGAGAAGAAGAAGAAGAAGAAGAAGAAGAAGAAGGGAAAAATTAAATTAAATTAAATTAAAATTTTTAATATAAAAATATTATTTAACCATGATGAATTCTATAGCTTCGATCGATAATTTTCTATGAACTTACAAATTGTATATATCCTCTCATAATTGTCAATTAATCCAATTATCTGAACCCTTATAGGAACCAAACAAGCATGTGTTTGTCTCTCTATCTATACATCTCGATATTATACTTGAAGAGAAAAGCAATTGTCGCTAGTCATTAATCTAATTCTCCTCGGATCACGAAACGAAGAGAAAACAACTCTTTCCTATAATTTATCAAAACAGATGCTTTAAATCTAATATGTTTAATTCACATGAAATATCTTTACTAGATTGAATGAGTCTTATATCCAAATATAAATCTTATTTTATTCGCAGGGATTCCCAAATATCTCATCTCCATAGAAATAGAAAATGGAGTAGTAGTTTCAGAGTTTTTTTATATGGCAGAATAAACCGAGCCTTTTCTATTACCGGATTAAAGAAATCAACTGTTCTTCCTCATTTAGTGTTTATACCGACAGAAAACAAGAAGAGATACGGGATAGATCCATTGTTTCCTCCCATAATATCTATACTTGTTGGTGCAATATAAGAAATAGATTCACTATTATTTCTTCCACCTCACATCTCTTCCCTTCATCTTGTAGCAGTTAGAGTGTTTGGTTTGACAGATGATAGAGAGGAAATAGCAGATTTCCTCTTTTTCACATCCCTTCCGTTCATCTTCTTGCAGTTGGAGTCTTTCGTTTGGTAGAAGAAAGAGAGGTGGAAAATAGATACAGATCCAGTACTGTTTCCTCCCCTCTACATCTCCTTCCTTCTTCATCTTGTTGTAGTTGTTTTGTTTGGTTTGATATAAGAATGAGGAGGAAATAAGAGGAATCTCCAGTGTCGTGTCCTCCCCCTCACATCTCTTCCCTTCATCTTGTTGCAGTTGTTTTGTTTGGTTTGGTGGAAGAAAGAGAGGAGGAAATAAGACAGAGATCCAGTGTTGTTTCCTCTCCTTCACATCTCTTCCCTTCATCTTATTGGATTTGTAGTCTCTGGTTTGGCAGAAGGAGAGGAGGAAATTAGAAAGAGATCTCCTCCTCTGCACATCTCCTTCTTTCATCTTATTGCAGTTATAGCCTTTGTTTTGACAGAGGAAAGAGGAGGAAATAAGAGATAGAGATTCGACATTGTTTCCTTCCCTTCACATCTCTTCTCTTCATCTTGTTGCAGTCGTAGGCTTTTGTTTACCAGAAGAAAGGGAGGAGGAAACAAGGTAGAGATCCGTTGTTGTTTCCTCCTCTCCTCCCATCTCCTAGTGCAGTCTCGTTAGAGTCGCAGCCTCTGTTGCAAGCAAGCCATGGTGAAGATAAGCAACAGCCTGGTCGGCGTGCTCAACTTCCACACCCTCCTCATCTCCTTCCCGGTCATTGACATCGCCCTATGGTTACGGATCAAGGCCCCCACGGAATGCGAGCGGTTCCTCCAACTGCCCCTCCTCGTCGTGGGCGTCTTCCTTTTCGTCGTGTCTGTGCTGGGCGTCGTCGGCTCGTGCTTCCGGGACTCCATCTTCCTCTGCATCTACGTCTTCCTCCTCTTCCTGCTGATCCTTGCCATGGCTGCCTTCACCGTCTTCGCCTTGGTCGTGACGAACAAGAGCATCGGCCAGGCGATATCGGGGAAGGGATACAAGGAGTATAGGCTGGGGGACTACTCGCACTGGCTGCAAAAGAGGGTGGGGGATCGGAAGAATTGGAGGGTGATCCATGGCTGCATGAAGGAGGCCAAGGTCTGTGGCCGTCTCGAAGATGACATCGGCACGAAGGCCTCCGAGTTCTACAGGAAAAACCTGTCACCCATGCAGGTTTGTTCTTCTCTTTCACACTTGATTCATGTTGTAGTGTTTCTGCAAGAAAGCATTTGATATGCTGATAGAAACTAGGGTTTTGTACTTATATCCTTTGATCATGCTTATGATTTTAGTATGCATTTGAGAAGGTTTTGAGGAAAACTTTGGAAAATCGATTCTCATGATCAATTTCTTACAAGCATTGCAGATTAGGACTGATGCATCTTCTCAGTATCACCAATGCAGGTTTATTCTTTTCCTTCACACCATTCTAGATTAGGACTTGATGCCTGCAGTGGTGTTTCTGCAACAAAGTATCATGTTAGAATTTCTTTGAGAAAGAAGGAACAGAATCTATCATCTATCTTTTGAGAAGAAGATCCACACAACTATTTCTTTTATAAGTATTGATGTAATGAGAGATGTGGAATTAATCGTAGACTGTAACTATACTACCTCGATGTAATCCCAAATCTAAAATAAGATTAAAATGGACTTATGAAGAATAGATATGTCTACTATATTATCACTAACTGGAGTTTAAATTTTCTTTAGTGAGTTCTGACAAATAGCTCCGGATTCCATTTAGCTATCATAGCGTTTGATTCTTAGCTCATGTTGATCCTTGATGAGGGGAGATCTAATAATTCTACATCAGAAGAAGAAGGAGATTAGTCGATTGGACTTATAAAAACTGTCAACAAGCCAAATGATTTAAACTAAAATCAACGGGATCAACTCAAAAGCTTTGAGATTTCATGTTCCATTTGCTTTCTTGCTGCTGTGTTCTTGTTCAAGGTCTTCATCTATCTCACCATATTTCTGATTCTGTACTCAAGTCTGGTTGCTGCAAGCCGCCAACCTACTGCGGATTCACCTACGCTAATGCTACATATTGGATCATCCCAAGATCTGGTCTCTCTTCATCAAATCCTGATTGCAAGGCATGGAGCAATGACCAAGATAAGCTGTGCTATGGCTGCAACGCATGCAAGGAAGGTGTTCTTGCAAACCCTCGAGAACGGGTGGAAGAAGGTCGTCATCTTAAATGCTGCTCTTCTTGCCTTTGTCATCGTCATCTACTCGGTTGGATGTTGCGCATTCAGGAACAACAATTCTCATAGCCATCACACCCATTTCTATAGGGGTGGAGATCACTAGTTCACTTTAGCTCAGTGTGATGTTCTTTCTTCAGCCAAATTGCAAGGTTGGAACTGTATTATTTCCATGTTTTGAAATAACTATGATCTAGGGTCTTAGAACACATAGGAGAATGCCAGTAGATATGCGATTTTCGATCTTCATTTTAACTATTTTCATTCAAAAGTAATAAGCATAGATCATATGTGGTGTATATCATCTTTAAGACAATTATATATGCATTCAATTTTTTTTTTTAGCTCTTTTCATTCGGTCATAAGCACAGATAGGAAGTTCTATAAATATGTTCTTCATATATTTATTTTGAACAACTAAAAACTATGATTTTAGAATAACATTGGGTTATATTACAGGAGGATGCCAGTTGGATTGTATATGTTAATTAGCTTCAGTCAACTGGATATGCATGCATCATTCTTCAATAGCTTCAAGACAACTAAGTATCCATGTAGCAGCAGTCCTTTATCATTCTATAATAAGCATAGAAAACTTAGATATATTCTAGGGTTTTAGGATATAGGAGAATGCTAGTTTGGTCATCACATGTGTATATGCATGCATAAGCCTTCATTTAATAATAAGCATGGCCAATTATTTTGTTACAAGCAATAACCTCTTTAGTTTATTGCAGCTGTGGTCATTTAACATTCACTTAGGTTTCTTGTCTTTTGGAGCTTTAACCACACCATGAAATATTTGTTGTTGAACTGCCAATTCTAACAATAATACGAATGCTATTTATTGTGAGAATAACATGTAGAGAATGCAGTATATATGTACATTAATATTTCAAGATTGAATGACTTTTATTACATGTTTTTAAGGGAAGATTAAGCTGATTTTGGAACATGGGCTGTTCACAATTACAACTAGAAATTGAGGATTAAGGGATTGTAAGTAATTGTTGACATGAATATGATGAAAATATTGATGGGCAAGATTGCACAAAGTTGATACTTTGGAGTCTTAACGAGGCCAATGTTGATTTAGACTAAATGATGGCAACAATTAGGACCAACATCTTCTTAGACTACACAGAAGGGGTTTTATGTAACCCTCTTTTATCTTTTTTCCTTGGAAATTTATCTGAGTTGTCAAAAAGAGAGAATTTTTCATATGTTTACAACTTATCAATGATTTATAGAACACCATCTTGTGATCACAAATGTTAAATTGCTAATTGGCATGAAATAGATTAGCTTTCACTATGGGTGATATTGCTGTTAATTATCTTCTATTAAGTAAGTTTCATGTCATAAGATCTACTCACAACCACTTCTACCTATCTCAAAAATTAATCATGCAAATTTGTTTATGATGCCATCTCTCTCTACTCTCATATTTATTAAATATAGAAAGAGTGGAACAATAATCTTATTTCGAAGATTGAGGTCTGAATCATATTAAAATTGGACCCAAGTTATCTTATGGCTTCTAAAAACACATGAAAACTGCTTAAATGCTTATTTCAACCCAATTGTGTTCATCAAATTAAGCATCACAGACAAGTGAGGGTATGATTTGGTCTATTGCAATTGGTCATTCGAGCTGTTGTTTCTGATATCCAAAGCTTGTTATATGGACACGATCGAAAGAACGACTTGCTTTGATACTTTCGTGTTGCTGATTAACTCAAAACATATTTAATATAATAAGAAGATAAATAGTTTTGGAGCTTGAATCTTGGTATATGATGGTATGGTTGCTCTATTGCAATCATGATGAGTATTTGTTTGCAAAGTGATCATGTCTATTTTAATAGGACTGGATCATTTTTCTTCCCATTTTGTATTTGTGTAAAGCATAATAGAATTTTCTAAACTTAATTGTTTGTGAAAAAAAACCAAATAGATATAAATATATAATTGCGAAACGAAGTCATAACTTTGTGCAATATCAATGACTACTGTCTTTGGTTTTAGAAAAACATATATATGTATGGATTAAAGCAAATAAAATTTGTGTTTTCCAATCCTTACACATGAGTCATGCTAATCTTCTCTATATCATTTCAATTTTATCATACGACTTTGAAGAGATAAAAATTAAAGAAGAGAAAACATGGGCGATATCTTTAGTCCAAATCTTATAGCTCTTAGTGAGGGAATCAATCTATCATACACATTACATTAATGACCCCACAAGTGCCCTCACAATCAGGTAACATCAACTAAACTAATTATGCACTCATAACAAGATACTTAATAAGGTAGGTCCACCCTCTCACTAGCCATTGAATTAAGCCATGCCTAAGGATTCCTAACAATGCATGTGCTTTGTGACATAACGTTTCTTCTAACCACATTCATTAAATCAAACCAATCATTGCTCCGAATTTGATGTATATTTCACATTATAAATTGTGTTTGCAGCATATATATATATATGTATATATATATAATTTTAGCATGACACTAACCACGCTTATTTGTTCAACTATTTTTCGGTACTATAAGATGATCTACTGTGACATTAGATGATCATTTGCATGGAATAGTCTTTTTTTCATTTAGGTAGTATAAACATGTAGTTAGTGATAGTGTGAGTTGGACCATAATTAGGGAATGACGAAGACAACATGACCAGCTTTTGTTGAGGAGGCGCATGGGAGAGAGGGAAAGCACAGCCATGAGAGAGGGGGTAGTGATGGTGTTGCCTCTTTCTTGCTTAGCTGTTATTATGGTTAGGAGGGCAGGGGCGGAGAGGGTCGCACATGGAAGCACATGACATCTCCCTATCTATCTTCAACATCCACCCATCCCCGACCCTAGTGCTGATGAGGGTAATGGAGTCCCATCCTCTGCCCACCTGACATGAACACAGCTCACTGCTCTCTCTCTCTCTCTCTCTCTCTCTCTCTCTCACAAGAGCTACAAGCAAGATGGGTGCTGCTGGTGAGCTACCAAGAGAGCATTCCCAAAGAAACCTGGGAAACAGAAGAAGGGGTGGAGAGTACTGTTGATGTTGGCCTTCCAACAGAATGATTTAATGCTGCACAGTGCACACCCATCTCGCCTCTTACATAATTTGAGTTGGTCAGCTCAAATCGAATACAGCTCACGGATGCAGCATTCTCTTGGCTGGCACTCCCGTTTTGGCGCCTACTGTTTACTTGTTGCCATGTGTTCTCCTTCTCGGTCACTACCTGATGCCAAGAACAAGTATCTGAAAGCCCAGCAAAACTGTCGATTAATATATTTTCCATATATACACGCAAAACAATTAAGTTACTGATACAGTTGAAAATATTATTCTACAATATTTTGTATCTCTGAGGCTTATCCAGATGTTAACCACACTTAAAACATAGATTGGATGGACCATAAAGGTTGTAGAACCCGAAACCCTAAACGACTTTGATTGTTATCTACAGCTTAAACTCCTTACATCCAATCATGAGTAGGACAAGATTAAGGTCATTAAGCCAGCAAAAGCTACTCAAGTTATGTAGATTTCCCGCTTCATATCTATAATGTGCTTTCAACTCTATCACCACTGTTTAGTTTAGGAATGGGTAAATATGTTAGAAATGAAATGAAGAAATGTTATTTATGTTTGATACAGTGCTTCCTATTTATACACGTTAGGAGGGAGGATTTTTCTTAACAGAGCTGTGATATTTCCTCATGTAATTGGGGAAATCTTAGCTGTTATCAAGAAAAATCTTAGTTGCTATCATGCCCCGTAAGACGGTGCTCATATCAAGGATACCGATCATGGATCGATACGATGAAAATGGTTTGCGGGTGAGAGGCTTCGTGAGTGAGTCTGCTAGTTGGCCAGTTGTATATACATGAGAAACACGTAGTTGATGTCTGACAACTTATTCTCACTTGAAGTGAAAGTCGATTTCATACATGAGTAGAATACTAGATTGGCCCATAGGTAAGTGGCTCTGATATTATCACAATATATTGTAGGAATAGAAGTGGAGTTGATGTCAAATTCCTTAATTAGATTCGTGACTCAATTGAGTTCTACAGTAGCGGTTGCAATGATACAATATTCAGCTTTAGTTATAGATCGTGCAATTGTCTTTTGCTTCTTAGAACTCCAACTGATTAAATTAGCTCCAAGGAAGATAATATACTCTATGGATATTCTGTCATCAAAATTCCCTATCCAATCAGCATCAACAAAGGCATAGAGATGAATGAGAGAGTGTTTGCGGAAAAAGAGACCATGATTGAGAGTCCTGTGAAGATATCGCAAGATTCATTTAACTATAAACCATTGCATAGTAGATGGTCGATCCATAAATTGTGATAATTTATTGACCGTAAATGAGATATCTGGACGAGTGAGAGATAAGTATTGTAAGGAGCCAAGTACTTGGCGGTATTGAGTTGGGTCCATAGTAGAGCTTCCATCATATAGTTTGAGTCACTTACTAGTAGACAGAGGAGTTGTAATCACTTTTGCGTCTTATATGTTCATCTTTGATAACAAATCTTAAATATACTTTCTTTGTGATAGAAGAGTCCTAAAGACGTGTATATTGCTTCCACTCCCAGAAAATAGCTTAAGGTTCCTAGATCTTTGAGGGAGAAATGATTTGCCAAATGCCTAAAGAATGTCTTGTTTTCCAGAGGATTGTTGCCTGTGATAATAATATTATCTACATATATCAGAAGATATATTGTATTGCTACTTTGGTGACAGAGAAATAGCGAGGTATCAGACTTAGAGTTGATGAAACCATTTGATGTCAAAAATGAGCCAAGATCTGTGTACCAAGCTCTTGGAGCTTGACGAAGTCTATAAATAGCTTTTTGTAGTTTACAAACGTGCCTTGGATATTAAGGGTGGATGAAGCCAAGAGGTTGTTGCATGAAGACATCTTCAGTTAGAGTCCCTTGTAAAAAGGCATTGTTAATATAGAGTTATCGTAAATACTAGTATTTTGAGATGGCCAAACTCAAAATAAGTTAGATTGTTGTAGGTTTAACAATGAAGCTTAATG